TTCTACGAGGCGAGGCGTCACAACGAAGACGCGTACGAATTCTCACTCGAGTTCCCCTCCTCTCTCTCTCTCTCTCTCTCTTCACGCGCGCGCAGCAGAAACTAAAAAGGCCCTCCCCGGCTGGCCATTAAACCCGTGTGCCCTATATATACCGATCTCGAGTTCCCCTCCAACAGGAAACCCTTCTCTCTCTCTCTCTCTCTCTCTGTTGCACCTCAAAATGGCCGCCATGAACCGCTTCCTCAGGTCCTTGACTTCTCTCGCCTCTCGCCCCTTCTCCAGTCTAGTTTCAGAGGCGGAGTCTCGCTTACACAACATTTCTCTGTCTAAAGTAATAGTAGGAGTTCTCAGCCATGGCAGCGAGAGCCGAGCGAGAGGAACGTTCAGTGGGTGTTTTTGGGGTGCCCTGGCGTCGGAAAGGGCACTTGTGCGAGTCGCCTCTCTCACTTGCTTGCCGTGCCACACATCTCCACTGGCGACCTAGTCAGAGAAGAGCTCGCTAATTCTGGCCCTCTTACTGAGAAGGTAAAGAGTGAACTCTCTCTCTCTCTCTCTCTAAATCCCCTGTTACAGAGCTGGCCCCTCTCTCTTTCTCTCTGGTAGAAATGTTCCCTTGCTGGAACGTCGTCTGAATCTCTCTCTAGAAAAGCCGTCTTGCCGGAATCTCTCTGGAAATTCATTCTCTCTATATCTCTATATAATGCCAACGGCCCTCCCTTTTCCACTAAAAAGATCTCTCATTGCGAGAATGTTGTCTGAAAATCTCTCAATTATTGGTATATTTGCCGAAAATCTCACGCTTCTCTGCTTCAATGCATGTTTGAGCTTCCTCTTCTCCTTCTTCTTCTTTTAATTGGCCTTGATTTGTTTATTTGATGAATTTATTAGAAATAGGGGAATTTCATGGGAGCCCTCTCGAGGGTTAATTGCTTCTATTTCACTTCATGTCTTTGTTGAGTTTCTTAAAAATGGAGGAATTTCTTGACAGTTAATTTCTGAGATCTGTTTATTATTTTGGAAATTAAAAGCTTAAAGTAGCTCTAGCAATGCGTAACTTATAGGTAAAAAGCTTATACCGCTCATTAATCCATGTCCTTTTATCAATTGTTTGGATCATTCTTTCCCATCAGGAAAATTGAAGAACTTGTTCTTTTTACACAACATCTTAATAATCTTATTTTTTTGTGACGCTAGTGGTTTGCTATTAGCTCCAATAACTTTTCTGTTGCAGACTTGCAGTCCTGATATGTCTATGTTGACATGCCTATGAATGGATGATAAACTTATATTTCTCATCTTTAGCGAGGGCATCTCGATGAACCACTTTGATTAATATAATGTAGTTTTCGATATGTAATAGTGTAAATATTGACGTTTGATTAGTGAATAACTGTGGGAAGACTCCTTAAGAATGTGTAATAGTGTAAATATGGACACATAATTGGGTCTTATTTTGTGGCTGATTCTGACTTGACCAATTTCCTATTCGTACATTCATTCTATTATTCTTTATTTCATTTTCCTGTTCATCTTATTGTTGTGCAAAAGATGATCTAGAAAATGGAGTGAGTGCACTATTGGATTTGCTTGCAGTTCAGAGATTGGAACATCATAGCCTTTGAATTGAACGATGGGCTTCAAGCTGAAATTCAATGGAGTTTTCATATTCATAAATCTCTTCCCAAAATCCCTGCTTTTGTAGTTTGTGGTCTCTACTGTCTCATAACTCAATTTGGATTCTTTTGGATGGATCGAAATCTCCCTCCTAAGTAATAAATTTCATATGAATTTGGTAACCAAATAACCAAATTTGAATAAAAATTTGGATATTAAATTGAAAATTTATAATTGCTTTGGATTCCCAATGGCATCTGATTTGGTGTTTGGTTTAACGATTGGGCTTACAAGTGACTTGGAGAGTCGATTTGGTTGATCTTGGTATAAATTAACTATAGGGGGATCATATAAACATGTGTTTTCTGATACATCTATGCAGACGCATAGCAGAATGTGTTGGGATTTGTACTCATAATTCATTATCTTGTTTGGTAATTTGAGAATGCTTATAGTGTCTCCATTCCCTGATAAATGATCTTTTCAGTATCGGCATAAATGACCTAACTGTACCCCCTGAATCTAAAGTTACTTGCCGCTCCAACTCAGTTCCAACAATGCATTCCACAGACAGAGAAAGCGGAACTGCTTGGCCCACTTACCCTCCCAAAATATCGGGTTTCGAAGATATAGATGCCACATGGCAAACCAACCTAGGTAAATGCTTGCTATCTTGATACAAT